AGACCCTTGTCCAGCAGGCCGAGGCGAAGAGGTAGTACCGAAAGCAGCAAAATCAGGGAGCTAGACAGGAGACAGACGGTATTTGTCTTCAGTGTGGAAGGGATTGTCACTCTCGAATTGGCCTTCTCAGCCACACTAGATGCTGTTCCAAGTCCTCCATACAGAGCATGTTACCATAGTCTCTCGAGACTGAAGGATGACTACACACTAGGAACTTCCAGATTGATTGGTTGTGCTCCCCCACCCACCCAGGTTTGAAGGTCTATGTGGATTTAGGAGGGTTGCTGGGGTAGAAAATAGGCCCTAAGACTCTCGAAGGTCACCCAGCTATTTTAGAAGGATTGCAGCACAACCCACTTTCAAAGAAGCTTTGGTAATCTCCACTACCCAAGCAGCCTATGCTCCCCTGGCAGCTCCTATTAGGAAAAACAGACATAGGTCTAGCAAACATGTGGTTGGTCTTGCTTCTTCAGGCAACCTGTCTATATGATACAGTTGAAAAAAAAGAGAACCTGATCCATCAAAATTGAACAAATGTTTGCTTCAATCACCACCTCAGAATCCACCCTCCGAACCTGATCCATCAAAATTGAACAAATGTCGAGCCTAATGTCGAGCCTAATCCAGAATAGATACGAGTGATCCTCTCCACGAAGTGTTTTGCAAATTCAAGACAGCAAGTTCATCTCCAACATTTTGAGATCTAGAATATCTCAGCATCTGCTGCCTTCCACAGCTGCCTTGCTCTGCCTACTGCTGCCTGTTCACAGCAACAACAAACTGTTATGCATTATTTTCTATGCTGTATTTTGGGGTCACTTTGTCTTGAATGAGGAATTAAGGACCGGCAGATTTACAAAAGACCTGCTCCTGGAAGATGTACAAACTAACAGAACAGATCTATCAATTCAAATAAATGGAACTACCTTGATTGTATTCACTGTTCACGAGGACATGCTATGGGGGGACTTTCACAATGAGTTCCTACACTTTCCAATTTATCACGACACTCAAGAATGCTGGCAGTAGCTTTTATTCCAGACTTTGATTTCGCCTTCCTAGAAAAAGGACATTGTCCTAAGAGGAATCTCTTGCCTTTACACAGTAACATGTAAAGAAAGTTTTAATGCATTATGTTTTCATTGACAGGAAGGAATACTGGGCAGAGGCACAGGTGAGCTTGTGACATGAACATAACACTGAGATCAGTGCACTCCAGAGTACAGATTTCAGCCTAGAAGCCCAAACATATTCCCAAAAGCACTTTTAAAAAATGCATAACATTAAAACATGTTCATTCACAATTGACAAAATGACATACAAACTTAAAGCTTCAGTACTGAAAACACTCTGAAGTCCTGTCTGCAGCTCCTTTCTCTTAATATGCTCTGGCTTTCCTTGACCACAGCAAATATGACGATCAGTTGGATGCTGGCAGAACTAGCCAAGCTGTCCCCTCCAGGTTGCTTAGTGCTCTTCTCTAGACTGAAACGCTGATTCAGTTCCTGTGGATTCCAGGGGATTCCCCTGAGGGACAAACATTCCTCTATGTGAAGGAAATGTCACATCAGAAGTTACTAGTGACTTCAGTTGATTCATTATAAATGATTTTTTCAAAGTGTAAATCTAAATCTATAACGTCCTAAATCACCCAACCTACATGATTAGCTTCCAGAAAGCCACACAATAACCACAATGGCTAGGGGATTCAAGGAGCTGGCCATGGTGGCTAAGAAGCTGTCATCCAAAAAAAGTAACTTTTCCAAACTCTGGATCACAAACGGAGACATCTGTGATTTGAGGGAGCCTCAAGATTTGTGATCTGAAGAAGCTGTGCGGTATGAAGGGCATCTGGAGATTTAAATACTGTACTCTCATGTTTCACAAACTCAATATCATCCGAACAGCTGGCCATGGAGGAGCAGGAAGGGAGAAAATTAGCCAAAGGGCCTGTAATGCCTCCTACAGGGGAGGCACAGGAAAGATCTAGTCAACACCATCCCAGCTCCCTGCCCAGAACATTCCCAGCCATTGACATTAGTGGAACACTTGATTAAGACATTGCCTGTCAGTTCTGTTACTCAGACTTATGCCAAATACATGGAAATTCAGAGTTTAAGTCCAATACAGTATGTAACAACATTTTAAAAAATCAGTCCACTTGTTAGTGTAGGATTGAGAAACTCACAAAAATCATTAAACCTGGGCAATCATTAAATTTGACATTGAAGTGACAGACAGAAATGTTGCAATCTTTTAAAATGAGACAAACCTAAAGGGAAGAAAAAGACAAACTTGTTGTTTTGTACAGAGATCATCAAAGTTGTTAGAATATCCTGAATAACACATATTTTGGTTTATTTGTTTTTTAAGAGGATGACGCCAAAGATAATACAAAATCCATGGAAGATGTCTGTGGAAAGTTCTCTTAATCTTCAGCCAGTTCAGACACACTTTTTCATTTGATAGTTGCAACATGCACAGATGGCTTGCATGTATGAATGTGCCATTCTAGATGTAACTGTGCACATAAAACTTTAATCTTTTCACAGTGCTACCCCATGCTATTTAATAAATGCTATTTAATAAAATCTGTTCACACATTATGTCAGGAGGACCCCATAAAAATGAGGGCAGAACTCTTGCATTGTTTATAGTCCCTGGAATGTAAATAAGCGTAGCTTATCATGAAACCTATATCTGCTGAAATCCTCTCTTCCATATTATTACAAAAGGGCACCGGAGCCCTATTCTGTTTCTGATGTGGCTGCTATACATTGTATTCACTTCTATCTACATTATTGTAAGCAAGCACTAAGGAATCTGTAAATACAGTATAGGTTTAGGGAAAGACAAGGGAAAACCTAAACCATCCCATCTGTGACCTGCCCAAACCTATGGGTGGCACACAGATGCATAGTTAAGCCATGCATCTGGCTTCCTGGGTTTCTGTGTCCTGAACATATCTGTCTGCTTTCTTTGAAAACATGCCCAAAATGTTCAGAGTGAGTGCTACCAATCACAGAAACACACAACCATGTTCTGAAGTTGTACTTGCCAAGACATACATTTCACACCCAAGAAGCACATCAAATTATGGACAATATAGTGATAGAAAACATAGTGTCTTGACTAGCATTAATCCAAGTAATTTCACTAAGTGGGTTTACACTAGCGACTTAAGGTCTTAGAAGAGAGACAGTAAAATACCATATCTTTAACCATTCAAAATAATAAAGATTAAACATGCAGTGTAATTCTGCATTTCTTTACTCAGATCAGTATGGGATTTACTCCAATGAAAATATGTATGGGATCTGAACACAGTGAAGCTTTATTCCAAGTAAACACACATAGGATGGCACTACATAATGTTTTATACACGCAATCTTCTACATATCTACCTGAAACCCATTTAAGTCAACAGGGCTTATTTCCAAATCAACATGTGTTTAACTGCACTACCCAGATGTTTTTCACACAGAAAACCAAAACAGCCTTTGACCTTTGTGAAATTTGTGCACCCATGTGAAAGCTCTTAATAGTGTACCAGAAAACTAGAAGTAAGCCATTTTCAAATTGAACTTACAGTATGAATGCATAAACTCTGAATATTTTTAGCAAGGGAAAGGGAATGGAAAGGTGACAGTTTTAAAATGCACATTCTTGTCAGTCTGGGTTTCACAATCAATGTACACACCTGAAATACCAAAACACACACACTCATATGCACAAATGACACTTAAATCTATGGTTTTTTCCCACTATTTTCCCAGTCCTTAGGCTTGTAATTTGAGTGTAACTTCCACACTGGTTAAATGTGCATTTGATCTAAAAATCTGCATTTGATCTAAACGGATCAGCTGTCTGACATATTTTTGTGCCATGGTAACAGAGTCTGCAAGTGATTCCATCTGAGATTTTAAATGATTTTAGCTTCACTTGTAAGAGGGGAGAGAAACATCCTGAAGTTGAGCGGAAAGAAAATTACAGTCTTCCTCCATATGCACTTCAAAGAAGTGCTATACTTCAAGCGACAGAGTGTGTAATTCTTGGATGAGATCCTTGGCTCTCACCCATCTTCAAACTTTTCTTATCTTTCACGCTGCCAAAAGCATAACTCAAGGTCTACTGTTTATAGGAGCTGCCTGCACTTTTTCTGTGCCTGCTTCAAATTCCCTTCAGTCCAAAACTCCGAGTAAGCGTGCAAAAAAAATAATAATAATAACCAGGCTAGACGTGTACATAAAGCTGCATTTTGATCTGAGGGACTGCCCTATGCACCACCACCCCAAAAAAAACCACAATAACCCCAAACCATGTTTAGTGTCCCTCTGTTCACGTCTTGTAACTTCGATATTTAAAACGGCACAAACACCGCCATCCTTTCGGGATGTGAAGGAGGCAGCGCTAGGCGACTGGGGCAATAAGTCACACCAGCCGCAGACACTTTGGCGAGCGAGCGAGCGAGCGGAGGGAACGAAGCGCTCCCGCACCTTCCCTTCTCGCCGGAGCTTTCGAACGCGAAGCCGACCACGGAGGCGAGCTTCGCCGCCAAAACTGTCGCGAAGAAGTTGGGACCCAGGCCGGCCTCGAGCAAGAAGTAAGCGGGTCATGAGGGGAAAGGCGGCCGGGCGGGCAGTCCAGCAGGTGCTTGGCACCACATGGGCTTGGCAACTCCTGACTCTCTCCAGGCTGCCTGGTTTTAAACTCTCTCTCTCTCTCTCTCTCTCTCTCACACACACACACACTTTTTCTCTCTTCCACCCACCCCCACGTCTCCCCACCGGCCAACTTAGGAGTTCCCTAAGCTTCCCTGACACGCGGACGCGCTCCGCCACTTCTCACCCCCTATAGATATAGATATATATACCTTGCTTGCCCCTCACTCGCCCGCTCGCTCGCTCTCCTTCCTGCCGCGACAGCGCGGGTCCCTTCCCGCGCGAAGGCGCCGCGTTCCCCAAAGCCCCTCAGGAGGAAGGCAGGCCCTCCGGACTTACCTTGGGGGTCTGGAGCTGCCCTCCGGGTCCCACCCCTTCCAGCCGCTTCCTGGTCCCGAGGTAGAGGAGGAGAGCCGCGATCCACAGGACGCCCAAGACGGACAGGACCAGGCGGCGGTTCAGGCGCCTCATCGTGCCGCGGGGGAGGCGAGCTGGGAAGCCGGCGGAGAAGCGGGAAAGTCCTCTCCGCCCTTACCAAAAAGCGGCGAGAACCCGGAAAGGGGGCGGGCCGGGGCTGGGACCGGCGGGCACCCTCCTTTGGCCGCTCGCGCTACCGGCCGGCGGAGTCCCCCCGAGCCCCCCGGGAGAGGGGCATGGCTAAGCGGCCGGCCTCCTAAAAGGAGGAGGGGAGAGAGGGGAGGAGGAGGCGGAGGCGGAGGCCGAGCGGTCCCGGGTCGTCCTCCTTTGTGGGCAGGAGGGAGGGAGAGGAGGAGGAGGAGGGACCAGGGATGGGGGAGGATCTTCGTGCCACCGGCACAGGGAGAGCCCCGGAGGAGCGAGGGATCGCGCCTTCCTGCCGGACCCCCGGTGGCCGAGGCAGGCTCGGTCCCTCCGAGCTTCGGATCCAGTAGCGGGAAAGCGAGGCAAAGAGGGCAAGGAGTTGAGCGGGGGAGCGCCCCTCGCCTACTTGACACACACGGCGGCTCC